CTGCTGATAGTGTTGCACAAGACTTTGGGGGCTGAAATGATCTAGTGGAAATGCAGAAGTGTTTGCTATTGCCATACGTACATTTTCAGGGCAAATTTTGTGCTAAATGCTCTTTAGCCAAGGAGTTTTCACCCATGTCCTTTTTTTTTTTTTTTTTTTTTTCCTTCTCCTTTCCCCTCTTCAGGCCAGAAGATAAGAAATGGAGCAGAAGGCAAAATAACTCCCAAACTCAAGGTAAGACATCATTATAAAGCCAGGCATTGGGGGAAAACTGATAGAACATTATGTAGCTTTGGAAAACAGAAGGGACACTTCAACTCTGCTGAACTGGCATGTCCTTTAGAGGAACTTCACCTCCACTGCACTATCTAATGTGTGTCACGCATACGAACAGCTCCTGTCACTGCCTTTAAGATACCCTTCCTCTCTCGCACTTTTCTCTGCTGTCTGGTCTAGGTTTTTGAGCCTGAAATTGAGTTGTGTCTGCTTTAGCACAGGCAAACATCTGCTTATTACCCTGATATAGCCATTAGTATGCTTTGAAGTATTATCTTTTTTATGTCAGTGAGCAGTGTTTCTCCCCGTTCCCCAAATAATTTGTTCCCTTTGTGCATTCTGATGTTGAAATCACTGTCTTGGCAATTCTGGGAGTGTAGCTGTAAATAGCAGACTTGATTATTGTGCAGGTGGCAGGAGCTGCACTGAATGTGGCAACATGTATTCAAATGGACAAAATTAACTCGTCGTGTTTATTTCCCAGCTAAAATGGAAATGCAGGAAAGAAGATGAGACAAGAGGGGGATACTCAAAAGACGTTCTGTTGCGGATCCTACAAAAGGTCCTGTCTGACACTTTCCTACTTCTTGATCTTCCCCTGCTCTCAATGGTATAAGAAAGGGTAGTAAATTTTGGGAAGGTACTTAGAAACCAGAGTGGCTCACTTTTTTTTTTTTTTCTCTGTTCACCTTTCTCACTCTTGCTGTTTTCAGAGTTCAGCAGCATGATCGATTAGCTGTGAGCTGCTCCCCAGCTAGCACCTCTGTCTCGTTCGTAGCAGGGACTCCTGCTGAAACTCTTCCTCCTGAATGCTTCATGCCCTGGATAAAAGTTAGATTGGCTGTGTGGCTGTGGTGCACTTTTGCCTTCGCTCAAAGCACTATTCATTAGCTGCTGTGGGAAGTTCAGAGACAGGAATAGACAAGCCTTTGATCTGATTAATCCCAGCATGTGGTCTTTATTTTCCCTTCATGCAAGTATCTCCCGTAGCCCTGGCTCTGAGCTGAGCAGCCTTCTTGCACTGGGGCTTGCTAGAAGCAAAGTGTGTAGCTCCATGCCTCCCCAGAATTATTTCCCGGAGGGACAGAAATTATGACAGGTTGGGCTCAGTGGAAGCATCGTGCAAGACAGGGTGATGGCTTAAGCCTCATGTCTGTGAAAACACATGTTTTCTCTGCATTCATTCCATAGATAAACTTGACTTCTGGGTCTGTAATTAAGTTTTTCTTTCTTTGTCTTAACAGTATGGCGATGTGCTCAATTTGTTGATCTCAAGCAGGAAGACTGGGAGTGCAGTTGTGGAATTTGCTACGGTTAAGGCTGCTGTAAGTCTGGTGGAGACCACAGACGTGTGTGGTGGAGAGTGGGCAAGAAGGAGTGTTGTGGAAGGGGAGGGTTAGCAGCCTGATGGCCCAGAGACACTGCCCTGTCATTAAGGCAGTGGAGAAGGGTAATGAGAGTCTAAAGGTACAGATGCACAGAGGGAGTGGCAAAGCTGGAGGCATAAACCCAGAGCAGATCATGCACATCAACAAACAGGCTGTGCATGTAAAAGGCTGAGGAAGGAGACACTGCTTTAAAAAGCAGGCTCTGAGCCATTTACTCAGCTCTCACTGAAGGTGAATTACCCATTGTGGAGATGGGCTTAATGAGTTTTAGAGGTTATATCAGGCATTTGCAGTTTAAAAGAAATCAAAAGGCCTTGAGTCACTATGAGTTATAATAATTCATGTGACTGTGGAAACAGAAATCATCAGTTACCCTTAATGTTAGTAGTTCCATCAACTTAAACTGCTGCTGTACCAGAGTCTGTTTCTTGTCACCTGTTCTTCCCCTCATATATCCAAACAATCAAAACCCCCAGAATTGTCTGGGACCTGTTTATCAAAAGTACTGGCGGTGGCACGTTCTGTCGATGCAGACGTGGACCTTAAAGGGTGCTTGTCATGTAGGGCAGCTGTGACATCTTCACTGTTTGTGCCCTACTTGGCCTCGATGCCAGGCTGAGATGGAAAAACTCTTGTGAGGGAGTGGGGTCTGATATGCAGGTGGTGATGGCACAATGTTTTCGTTGTTAGGAGATGGCTGTGAAGAATGAAGTTGGCCTGCTAAACAATCCTCTAAAGATTTCCTGGCTGGAGGGCCAGCCCCGGCACAATCCCAGCCGTGTCCTTTCTGACAGCACTAGTCAGCCTAGGACTTCACAGGTAAGGAGACATAGGCTGCTGTTACATAAATCTGTTTCTAAGGCAAGCCCAATTTAACAGCGTGTTTTGTGTTGATGGTAAGATGTGTTGATTCCCAGCAGAGCCAAAAAGAAGCTCTTAATGAAAGACCTGGCTTTCTGATGAGCCTTTTTGTGCTGAAGCAGTGGCTTTTTTAAAGGACATTTTGCTTGAGTAGCAGCACACAGAGAACACAAGCTGTTTGCATGACTGGATCTTCACACAGTCTCACTCCCTCTCTTCCAAGTGAAAAACAAGGATGTTCCTTACTCAGCCCAAAGCCTCTCATGCCATTCTTCTGGATTTTTTTCTAATATGCTTTGACTCTGGGAATCCTCTGGCTGATAACTGGTTGAAATGGGTCTCCTAGAAGGTTTTTAGATTATCCTAGTTTTGTTCAGGGTGGTATGTTTTCAGTTGGGATGCATGTTCTTTGTCTGAACAGCCTGGCCTGGGTAGCATAGTTTCCCGGACAAAGGCAGTTATAGCATCGTAGGAGCCGGGCAGATCTCCATGCCAGTGAGAGTCCTGCAGACACAGCAGATTCACAGAGGTGGCCAGAGTGTTAGAAGGCAAATTGGGGAGAAAAACAGACTCAAATCCAGTTTATCCGAGTATCTCTTGCTAGTAGAGAGTGAGAACTGGCTCTGAAGAGCTCATTCATACCTAAGGGGGTTGCTGGTGCAGGTGGAGCTCAGTGGTGGATTCTTGCCACTGTGGGTTCAAAAGCCCTGGCTTTTGACTGAGTTTATCTTGGCTTGTTTCCCTGGCCAGAGCTTGCTAGTGTGGAACTGCAGCGTCTGCCTGCTGTGAAGGATTAGCTTGGTGGAGCAGCAAGGGAGAGCAGGCTGAAGCAGCAAATGGTGTTCATGCTGTGTGGAGGTGGTGACTCACTTGTGCCCAGCACAGCCTCGTCTATCCCATATTAGCTCTCAAAATGGTGAGGAGTTATGGCCAGTGACTTGCATCCTTTCCCAAGAATTGCACTGCTGATGCTTGTCTGTCCTTTCTACTGCTTTTATGTGGAAGCAGCTGCAATTTCTTTGATTACATAGCAGGCTTGCTGTCCGTGCTAATATCTCCAAGCTGCTCTGGTTCCTGCTTTTCCTAGTTCCTACTCCATACCCTCCCCAAATCCTGCTGCTGCTTCCACTAGGATGCTTCCAAAATCTGTAATGTGCTAATAGCTTCCCTTGGCTGTACTGCTTCCAGCTGACTTATTCTTTGTCCTCAGCTCTTCAACTCTAGACCACGCAAAATGAGCCCTTTCAGATATCTTTTGCCACTGCCTCAGCCTACTCCCTTGCCTCATTGTTTCATACCCAGTCTGGCTTCCCAGCCATCAGGGTCCACGTTCTTGCTTTCAAGCTGCTCTCATCTCATTCTGATTTAAGCTGCCCTCACTTCCCATTTGCTGCTCCCTCTGTGTTGCTCCTATTTTTGTTTAGATCCACCCCTGTGTTTGCTCCCACTCGCCGCAAATGCGGCTCCTTCCCTGCTCTGCTTCGGAGAACAGCCGAAGCCCTGCAGTGTTCTCATGGCAACGCACTCGCTACTCATCCGCTTCAGAGCTGTGTCTGCACCCTGCCTGGGGTGGCCAGCCAGGAGCCGTGCGCCAAAGTCTTCAAATAAAGGACAGCCACACACTAACTAGACCAGTGGAGCTTTGGAAGCAGCTCCCAGGTGAAAGCAAGGCTGACTGTTGAAAAGTCGTGCTGTGAGGAGGCAGTGAGTTGCAGGATACGTGCCTCCGCAGTCTTGGTTGGCTTGTTTTCTTCTACAGCAATGGGTGCGTGTTGTCCAGCAGTTCCTGGAGAGCTGCTGGAGCCAAACAGGCAAGTTTTGCTGGAATTACAAAAGCTGTGGATTGGGCCAGTGTTACTCCAGGCTGTTTGAGAGCAATAACTATTTGATTGCTGCAGCTCCAAGTGCTTCAAAGCGCACACCAGCTGTACAGTGCTGTGAAGAGCCACTACAACAGCATGAAGCACTCGGTTCTGGGAAGGTCTTCCTTGCACCTTTAGTAGTGGGATCTCCCTGCCAGTGCTCCTCACTCATTTTGGGCCATGCGCTCAGCCATATTAAAGTGCTGAGAAAAGCCTTCTGTCTAGCACTCTTGCATCTTTTCTAAGCTTCTTTTGAGGTTCCATAAAGTTTGTTTTACACTGTCTGACTTTACAGCCTGACGTAAATCTGGCAGGTTAAGAGCCGTCTGTGCCTTCTCTGAAGTGTCTCTGTGCTTTGCTGTAGCCGGCTTCCAAAGCTTAGGATTATTTGTGTGCATGGAGGTTTTATTTTTTAAAAAGAGCTTTAGTATCTAATCTAGCTATGAAAAAGTTAAGACTTGGTGACCCAGTAGTTTCTGCAGTGTCCTTTTAATAGTTTGCCCCAATACTGCCTAAAATGTTCTGGGCCTGGGAGAGCCCTTCCCACTGCCCTGCTCATGGGGTAGAGATCTGCTCACTTCAAGGGGCTTGACCTGAACTCTGTGCACCCTCCTCAGGGGAAGATAAAGTACCAGCAGCTCTAGCCTTCTCCCAGCCCAGAAAAGCAGAGTCACCCTGCTTCCCCACCCTCTTAAAAACCTGTAGGGCCAGAGAGGATAGATCTTGGTCACTACAGATCAGGGACCTGTGCTCTTGGGGCCTGGGCTTTTTCTGGCTTGCTACCAATGAAATGAGGCAACAAGACGCTTCTAGTCACAGATACATTTATTCTTCCAGATCTGTACAGCTGATCAGTGCATGCTTCAAGCAGCAGTTTCTAGAGAAATTTCTTCTGCTAGTAAGATAAACAAACTGATGTTGCTGTATTACGAGCCTACGTGGATGCTTACCTGTTTCCAGGCTGGGAGTGCCAACTGCACTTGAGTTAGGGGAAAAGAAACCCACAAGGAAAAAAAGGAGGAACGTATTTGATTTTTTACATCCAAACATGGTGGGAGAAGAAACACCATTTTCTCTCTCTTGACCCTTGCCATAGCTATGGCTTTGAGATGCAATGCTATTGTCTCCTTGCAAGCTGCCTGCTTTTCCACCAACGATGTATGCCACATCCCTTTCTGTCCGTGTGCCGCAGTGTCGCAGCCATATCCCCAAAATAACCAGTCTTTTGCCAAACAATGCCATTCTTCCACGAGGAGGAGACGCACAGTCAAGAGTGGGAAATTCCCAGCGTGGAGAGTGGAAACTTGCCCATGAGGTTCCAGCAGACAGTGCTGTCATCTGAGCACGGACCCTGCGAGCTCTGCTCTGAAGGACTCCTTGGCAAGGACAAGGACAGTCTGTGGTGGGTAAGGCGAGAACAACAAAACGGGCCACACACAACAGGAATGCTGCAGTATCCTTCCTCCTGCTAGGACTAGAGAAACTGGCAGCAGTAAGTAAATGTGATATGTTAAATGATAAATACCTTCAAATGGCGTAATCTCTTGGATTCTGTTTCCTGAGGGTCTGCAGAACATCCTCAAGAAGCGATAGCCCCAAATCCACTTTGAAGGACAGGAAGGGATCGGACAGGTCAGAAAGAGCGGTGCCATTCTGGGAGCCTGCCTCTGAGGTCCCGCAGTCTGTAGCCTGGTCCTTGTGGAACTGAGTTTGAGTGGCTTTGTGGTATTGATGAGTAGCACCAGAAAAGGAGATGTCAGAGTGAGAATCTGTGTGATCAATGATGTTAGGGCAGCTAGAACTGTCCAGGTACAGCCGGGGAGGCTTGGGAGGTGCTTGTGCCTTGGCCAGGTTCTGCTCACTCTGACATGACAGGTAATCAGACTTGTCCTTCAGATCCCTCAAGCATTCCCTCTTCTGGCACTGTCCATCGTTGTCCAGAGTGTGGCTGTTCTGATTCAAGATGATGACTTGGTTGCCCAGCTTTTTGTGCCTCCTGAGTGAGAAACGTCTGAAGAACGTTGTGGACTTAATGGACCCTCTCCGCCAAGTATCCATGCCGATGAAAGGCAACGAGGAGAAGGAAGCTGCTGGCTCTTTGCAGTCAGGTGTTGGACTTAAGTCGCAGGATCAGCAGCAAGCCGCACAACAGGAACAACCTCTTCCTTCCCCGTTCCTGTAGCTGGAAGGAAAACAGAGAGGCTGGTATTGCAGGAAATGCAAACTTCACGCTACGTCCCTGTGTTAAGGAGCAATCGGCCTGTCTTAGATATAAAGGAGTCTCCTTCTTCAGTGGAGAAGGAATGGCGATGTCTGAGCTTGTTAAATCTGTGCTGCAGAAACAAGCTGGTGAAGAATAGCAAAGGCAGACAGTCACCATGAGAACAGATTTAATCTAGCATCTAGAACAGAAGGGCACTCTGGTACCATGGTAACCAGCCACCTTCGTGGTGAAGGGCACAGTATAAAAATCTCAGTGGGTGGGTAGGAAGGGAGACGGTGACTCAGTCACACTGAAGGAAACCAAAGAAATACAGTCATTTGGAAATTGAAAAAGCAACAAAACGCAGATGTGAAAGACAAACGTTAGGAAAATTGAATGCAAAAGAGACTTACGCGGTGTCGGAGCAGCACCTGAGTCTGTTGGGCGGCAAGAAGAAACTGCTGAAGCACTCGGAGAACTGTGACCACCACGTTCACGGGTACGCTGGGACGTTGGAAGAAGCAAGTCCAGGGACGATTCAGCCAGGTTGGACCCGGAACGCTAAAACTCCCCAATGCCTCCTTCTCTTCATGTGCCTCCTGTCAGTGCTTCCCAGGCTGCAGCTCCCTGTGCGTATGTATTTGTTTTGAGCCAAGCCCTTGCTGAGTCAGCCACGTCAGAAACTGGGTTTTACACTATTGGTAATTGCCAGGATTGCAGGAAGTAGGTGTGTAGAGTGGCAAAGCATCGGCCCACACGCTGCCTGGGGAGAAAGCAAGCTCCCTCAGAGGCACCCAGATCGCTTGAGAACTGGCGATGGGAATGTCGACCTGGAGCCCATCTTGAATCAAACTGTTTCTTCTCTTGGCGCTCTCCCTTCTGCCACTTCAGATGGCTTCTTGTGTCGGCAGGGCTCCCAAATGAGGCCGGAAATGATCTCGTCTGTTTTAAATTTAAACCCAGAGTGTGAGGTAGTCATTCAGGTTTGTACGGGTGATTCATCTGCATGAGGCTCATGTAGGCTATTTCATTCAGCCAAGCAAATGAGAGTAAGTATCTGTGGTTAGTGGACAGGAACTTTGAAGAACCTAGTTCTGCCACTGAAGGCTGATACAATCTGGTGCTTTCTCAGACACTGAATCTCTGTGCTGTGCAGCACTGACAGATTATTTCATTCATGCAGCTCCTAAAATACCAATTATGCTGCATTAGTCTCTTAATTTCCCCGTCCAAGTTTTTCATCTGTTGTGGGCTTCTATTTTGTCCTTGCAGGTAGACACTGCAGCGGGTGGAACCACTTCACTGGCACGTGATAACAAATTTGCACTTGCTCCATTTTCATGGAGAATCTTATTTAGCTATTCTATTGCCTGATCATCCCTTTATTTTCTATTTAAGATGTCCTTAACTCACCACTAAATCTAGTTCCTAGAAAAGTGAATGTGAGATTTTTATTTTCTCATTCACCTTCTGTCAAGATGCTTTTAGTTCTACCTGAACTGTCAAGCAACTGAGATGGATGTTTCCAAGCATTGCAGAGCTCTGAATACGTCTGAAATAGTACGGCCACCTACTAATGTTAAGTGGCTTTTGAAAGCAGAGTGCCAAAACCACCACTTTGTTCCGCGATAGCAGCTGTCATCTGCTGCCTACATTTATTAGGTAGAGTCTGCAGTCACCACTTGGTTGACGTGACAGTTGCTGCCACACACAGCAGAAAGGCTCCAAGAGCTTTTGAGAACTGAAACGCTCTTGTGCCAGGTTTGGGAACATACCTGATGGTTTTATTTCTGCAGCCACTTCTGTGACTAAACCGCAGGAAGGTTTGATTTATTTTTTTTTTTTTAATGGCATTAGCCTTTATAACAGTTGAAGCGTATGTGAGACTTTGTGCAGTGGTGTTGTGCTTGCAGAGCAAGCTTGTCACCCAAAATAAGCAGCCACAGCGAGGCAAGCCGTGCGTCCCCGTCCACCCTCGTTGTGAGCAGGGAATAGCTCCAGCAGCAAGAGGGTGATTCGGGCTCCCTGCCTGTCCTGCTCGGTCTCGGTAACACCGTTAGGAAGCCAGCGGGTTCCTGCAGGCCAGGCAGCTTGCACACCTGGGGTCCTGCTGCCACGAACCACCTTCCTGCACGCTGTGAGCATCGTTTATGGAGAGCGGGGCTGGGGTAGGGACTGTCCTTGACAGGTTGCATTTGTTTTCCGCCCCTAGGCATCCGTGGTGTCAGAGCGGGACTACGAGAGCCTGGTGATGATGCGGATGCGCCAAGCAGCAGAGAGGCAGCAGCTCATTGAACAGCTCCAGCGAGAAGATGAGGAAGAGTCTCGCACCTAGCATGAGAGTATGGATTCTCCCCACCGTTCTTCCTTTCTAAAGCTGTTTCTTAAATTAAGTCAATAAACCCCCTTTTCTAAAATCGTTGTAGGAATACAGGCTCTCAGTGACTGTAGCCCTTATCGCTTTCCAGAGCAGGGGAAAAAACACCTGCGTAAGTGTCAGAGTGAGTGTATTAACGTGTCGGTGTGTACTCGGAGCAGCTGCCCGAGCACAGAGGGTAGGGTGTGAGAGGTGTCATCAGAACACCAAACCCTGGTGCTGCTTTTAGTTCTTGGAAGCTTGTTCAGGAGCTGTAGATACAGAAAGCTTTAAAAGAACCAACGGGAAGACTATTGGTCTCTTTAGAGACGTGTTTTATTGGCGTTACCCCTACAGCAGGATTGATACACAGCCCCAAACAATCCAGCATTGCTGCTGCTAAGATTACAGAGCCCACACCTTAACTGTTCACAGGACCTTTCTGTGCCCCTCTAAGGCTGTTTCGGGAACGATGTGTTAGGCTTGAAGGGTGCTCTTGGGGCTGAAAGGCGGGTGCTGCTGCCAGCCACAGTCCCAGGTGGGAGAGAAACCAGCCTCGCGGCCGAGCGAAGAGATTCTCAAAGAGCACCGTGCAGGTTTAGCAGTTCCCGCTTGTGTTTCAGGGATGAGGCAGCAGGCCAGCCATGCTTGGCATCCCCTCCCACCCCCATGGCCTGGAAAAAGGTATGCCCTGGGCTCACAGCTCCACGTCCCGCTCGGGGCAGCACTGAGGAACGGGCAGACCAGTCTGTAATTCGAGCTTCCCCAACGCATGCTAAATAGGAGATGATTAAAATGTAAAAAGATGGTATTTGCCAGGCTGCCTCGGAGGAAGGCAGAGGCAGAGCCATCTGTTCTCCGTGCGTGATTTCTCCTGGACAGGGCATACCTTCCTCACCGCCGGGCTCGTGAATGGGCAGGGAGGGCAAGTTTCCATTGGGTCGAGTTTTGCTTCTACACCACTCCTCCCCCTGTGCCCGAGCGCCTGGAGCCTGGGACAGAAAGGATCTGAGGGGAAACGTTTGCTGTCAGCCCTGTGTGAGATGGTCCCCGGCAGGGCCGTGTCCGGGAGGAACGCAGAAGTCTTCCTCGCTATTCCTTGTGGAGGCACCAGACCAGCGTCTGGCCCACGCCCGTCATGCTCACCACCCGGTAACCGCAGCTCTCCAGCTTGTTCAAGACTACCCGCGGCGCGTCGTTCACGTAGTACTCCCAGCTGCAAGCAGGAGAGAGGAGAAGAAATAAAATGAGGTGGAGAAAGAAGCAACAAGAATTCCCTAAACCAATGTAAGATGCTGCAGTGAGGCACCTGGCACACTGTCTGCGTGGCGCAATGTCTTGGTTAACCAGATGGGGAAGGCCAAAACCCGCAGCCACCAAACCAAGGAGGAAGCCTGGCCGAAACAGAGGGGTCATGTTGAATGGACGTGTGGTTCCAAAGCCACGTGCTGCTCCGTCAACTGGGCTGAAACTGCAGGGAGGGTCCCTGCTGGAGTTCATGGAAAAAGAGGGTAATCCCTGCAAAGCAGGGAAGAATGAGTCAGGCATTTCTAAGGAATGAAAACCTAATGTTTTGCCCATGTCAGAGCATGTCTGTAAGTTGGGTGGTTTTTGGAGCCTGCGCTTGAAACTTGGGGATTGGAAGATGCTGCTGCCTTCAGCCAAGTACTAAGGCTTTGAGAAACCAGAAGCCGTCAGTCCTCGGCGGAGCTGCCAGGTAAGGTGGAACACGGGCTCCTCTCTGCCCCGGCAACTCAGGGCAGCTGCGTGCTGTGGCTGTCTGGGAACTGACCCCTGGGTCCAGGGTCCACCCGTCGTCCCTCTCCAGGTTCTGCTGGCTCTGTGGTTGAGGCAGAAGCTCTCCTTCCCTCTGCCCGGCCCCCCAGCCTGCGTCTCCGCACAAGACTCGAGGGCTGTGAGACTGCTCCCGCCGCAAAGGAAACAGCTGGCACTTGCGGAGTGGAAGAGTAGCGCCGTACAGACAAACGGGGCTGAACTAGGTGGGCAAGGAGCAGAGCTGAAATGGCAAGTGGTAACCTCCAGTGCTGGGTTTGGCAGCTTTCCTGGTCCTTTCGCATGCTGCTCTGGGATGCAGCGTTTATTCAAGCAGATGGGAAGAGCTTCATAGTCGTTTAGCTCCTGGGTGACTCACTGTGCCAGATAAGCTGATAATGATGGGCTACAGGATCGTTGGTGATCTTGTTTGGGCACCTTAACAAAGACTCTCCTGATCTTCATACTAATAACTGTAAAAAAAGACCCAAAAGCATTTCCAAAGTTGCTCTTGCTAAGATTGCAAAACATTAATGGAGTGGTGAGTGCTTTTAAAGTGTGAAATAACACCAAGATGTGAAAGCTTTTTTTTTTTTTTCCAGTTTCTCAAGACAAACTATACTTTGCTGTAATTATAGATGTGGTGTAAAGATAATATGTATTATTATAAGTGCCTTTGAACTTGCTGCTTTCTCTAAGAGGCTTGCCACATACCCTTCAGATTCACATGTTGGAGTAGGTAAATATTATTCCCATTATGCAGAGGAAGGAGCTGAGGCAGGGATTGTTTGTTGTTTGTAGGAACCTAAAAAACTGAGCAGCTGAGCTAAAAGCAGAAGGAAAGCTGGGTTGCCCAGGGCTCCAAACACAACTCCGTACCGAGTGAAATGAAAGACCGCACGCGGTGCGTATCAGCTACACCGCCATCTCCGCAGGCAGCGGGTCTGAATCAGGACGGAGCGGCTGGGAACGTTTGCAAAGCCTTTCCTGCGGGGAAAGGCCAGCAGGAACAGAAAAGCCACCCCAGAGCGGAGTTCCGCGCTTGCGCGTCGTTAGGTACGTGAGCCCAGGCGCCCACCCTCCCCGACCTGCCAGAACCAGAGAGCCCGGCTGGGATGGGACCGAGCTGGGGCAGGAGCGTCTTCCCCACGCAGCTAGCTTTAGTGATGGAGCAGAGGAGCTCCTAGTGCCACCTGCCCCGCTGTCCTCTCGGCTTCCTCCAGGGCTTGGCTCTGCCCTGGGGAGCAGCTAAACGAAGGTATTAGCTGGCGCCTCCGACCTCAGCTCCCAAAATCTAGCAGGGGCGCATTGGTTTTCATTTAAGAGCAAACTGCTGATAGCCTTTGTCATTACAGGAGATGCAGGGGACGGTGCCCAGCAGTCCCCCACGCGCGCACGGCCACCTGGGCGGCCCCAGGAGGATGCCCTTTCTGCAGCAGGCTCAGGCTGTCGATCGTCGGCCCCGCGCAGGCTGGGGCAGAGCCCGGCTCCCCCCTTGCTAAAGCCCAGATGCGCCGGGGTTCTGCCCCCGCACATCAGATAGGAGCGAGATTGATCTTAATGAGGGGCCGTGTGCAGGAGGTAGTGCAGAGCTGCCTAACAGGGCCAGTGCTCCCCCTTATTAGAGGCAATTAAGCACTTCAGCTGTACATTCATCTGCACATTCCAGTGCCCCAGCAGGTCCGTGCTGCTTAGACCTTTTCTATCGGGCTCCCTCCAAGGTCACGTTTAAGGTTTTGGGGCTCACGGAGCCGGGGGAAGGGTAAGCTCTGCAGCTCCCTGGAGCTGGGCTTGCTGCTAGCGAAGCCTCGCGGTCGTTGGGTGGGTCCTGCTGTGCTGCAAACACA